CCCCCCCCCCACCGAATCAGGCATCAAGGTGAAAAACAGGGAGCAGAAATGAATGAAATTCTGGAAAAAAGCGTTCTGAAGACAGGAAGAAACTGGCTAGCTTTGTGGGAAAGGAGCCACTCACAGTATCCCGTGGCAGCCAAACCTTTTAGCGTGAATATTAAGGCAGAAAGTCCACGCACGTCGGAGCATTCCCAACCTGTGACACTGGTGTTCAGAAAAACCGACACTTTCAAAGACACCTGCGCTGCTCTCAAACAGCATCTTGGGCACCAAATAGCTTTAACAGGCACCGAGCATTAGCTCATACTTTCAGTCAGCCTACTGCTTTTGCTTTAATATTGTCTTTTTTTTTTTAAAAAAAAAAAAAAAAAAATCCAACTACTCTTTTCAGAAACACGTTGCTTTTTACATAACCTACATATAAAGCACAAAAGAAAAACACTAAGTTACTTTTACTTAAGGCTGTATTACTACTATGAGGCTCAGCATCAATTTGTTGTTTATGTCTCGCCTTTTGACCCAGATTCTCTCTATCACTCTTCTCTGCCTTGAATTCTTAATTTCTGAGATTTGCCTCCCATTTCGGCAGTGGATAATACAGGGCAATCTGCCACTGCTCACAAATCCCAGTAACGACGGCTGTAGCAAAGGGAAGATATACAGGTCTGAAAAGGCGTTGAAGTGAGTAAGCTACGTCTGAGAGTACAATGTTGGTAAGTGCAGGATCTTTAGGCACGCAAGTTATTCAATTACCTTTGAAGAACAACTGAAATTACCCAGACTTACCGCTACGTCTTCAGTCTTCTCTTCTCTCTTTTCTTCCTCTTCATCAGTTTCTGCAGCAGCTCCATCTTCCTCATCGCTGCTAGAGGACTCGAGAATTTCACTTATGTCCATTTTCCAGCTCCGAGGAACGCCCTTCGTGTTGAGAAACGTGCTTGCCTCCTGTAGCCCTACGGAAGAAAGGGCCCTGGTTTTACCTCATCCACAGTATTCAGTCACAAAGCGTTTTCCATTTTCTTTTCACATTGCTGTAAATCACAATGCCAACTTAAACCAAAAATGGAATTAAGTTATAAAACAGAGACTTCGGCTCTAAACCACTCAGTTGGTCAAATTTTAAAAATCGAGTATCGGCAACTCGAGGAATTTAGGGTTGAGAACACCCATCCCCTCCACAGCACCCAGTAACTTTCCAGGCAGAGGACCCAGGACCACTGCTAAGGTTCACACCTCTGTACGGGAGCAGTACCACCGACAGGCACCTGCATTTACCCACATACATTCCATGCAACTGCCAACTGTTCTGTTTCTGCATGACAGATAAATACTGTAATAAAGCTATTTAAAAAAGTAAACTCATCGGTTAGATCAAGTACCATGACTTACTTTTTTTTTTCCTAAATATCTTCATGTCTTAAAGTTTAGATTGAAGGGGAAAAAAAAAATAAAAGTGCAAATGTTTTGTTGAAGAGCACTGCCTAAAAAGATTACATTAAATTAATGTTTGGAACAGAGGAAAACCGCTAATGAACAAGGCAGCGATGGCACAGGGAGAAGTCACACTCGTACCATGGGAATACCTCAACTCCTTTCCCTTGAAGAGGCACTCCAAAGGGGAAAACAACAAAACAAACCCTGATAACTCCAACCCCCTCAAAAAAAATCCCTTTCTTCAATTTATCGTAAACCTGGCATCTCATCTTTTTTTTGGCTGTTCTAAAGTTCTCATACTATGAAATAGTTACGAAGAAGAAAGTACGTGACATTAAGAATTACGCAATCAATCAAAACCACCTCAAGCTCTCATTTGTATCATGTTAAATCTTTATTTGTTAGGGGGCTATTCCACACCTTTACTCAAAACAAAGGAACTGTTGCTGTTGAGCAAAGTTTTTTTCTTGTTAGTTTTTATTATATATTTTAAATATTTCCCCTTAACAAATTTTGCGGTTCGAGGTCTGATTGAGAGAAACAACTCTGAAAGTTTAAGAATTATTTACATTAAAGTGAGAATCTGGCCTTTTACAGGCTCACTAAAAAGACGGATTATTGTAGTCACACCATCCATCCATCTAGAAATCAAGTTCTGTAATTACAGTTTTAAATCAAACATCAATCACAGGCAGGCTGTTCTTACAAAGTTTACACCTTGCTGTCTGGGAATTTTAATATAAAGACAAAGAGTTTTGAGCAATAGCACAAAACTTTGGTTTTAGGAGAGATACTGATATATTATATTGTTCAATGACAATGCAAATACTCTACCTTGAAAATATTCTATTCACTTTCCATGAATTGGGAATGGATCAAAAGAAGGAAATTAAAATCAAATAAACAGCACTTTTACTAGGTGCTCTTTTAATACTAAGGCAACTATATCCCAAGTTTCTCTAATTTATCACTGAAATGGTTTGCAAAATATCCACGAGCAATTATCAGAAATCAACAGGCCATCATTTATCTGTGAAATTTAAAAGTACTACTGCACAAAATTACTTTTTTTAAATACTTAGAATTTATTCTAATTTACCTTTTTTAGGGGAGGACTCAGATTTTGGTAAGTTTTGAACATCTAGTTCTTTAATGTCTTTTCTTGCTACTGAGTAACTGAAAAAGAAGAAGGTTCTGTTAATATTTTCAAATCACAGTAAAGCAAGCATTTGACTTAGAAAAACAGCAATTTCTAAAATTTTCAAGCCTTACAATTCACTTTCAAGGTCCTTTCTAACAACTAAATGCATAAGGCATTTGTTACTGCAAGTTCTAATACCAGATTCAAAACCAGAGTAAGTTTCCAATCTTTCTTTGAAATTCAGACAGTAGAACTCCTGTAATGAAATAATTTAGCAAAGTTGGTAAAGCTTCTTTATTTTAAATGTTTAACCTGCATAAATTTGCAGAAGTAAAATACTCTATATAGGAGAAAAACGTCTTCTAAACTGAAAATATGCACATCAATCAACAGTTGCTACCCAAAATAGCAATCTAGCTAAGATGAAAGAAACAAGCCCTCTATTTGCAAAATGCATTTCTGCTAGCACAGAACCACAGTGAAGCCAAATTCACATATCTGCACTGATAAATAGCTGATTTTTATTTTTAAATTACAAAAGTGTTCTCACAGCCAAATATGCAGAAATTGCTCTGTTCTAAAGTCATACCGAATATTCCGTTACTGAATTACTACAACAGAAATGCTAACCAGCCTGCAAGGAAAGCCTTACAAATGAGTTATTATAATAAGGTTTTTTTCTTCTTTCATTATTTCAGAAAAACGTAGTAAAACCTCAGGAATTGGAGGCCGCCATTTTCTGAAGTTAAAGCCATAAGACTATGGAGGAAAAAAAAAGTAAAACAGAGCAAGTCTGCACGCTTTTCCAACAGCATTCTACCTCGAGTACATAAAGAACGAGGCTTATCTAGAAGGCTGACGATACATGTCTACGTTAAGAGGCCAAAATGAATAAAGTCTTTCGTTACTTCACATGTGTTTCAGTAATCAAGTATTCGCACCCTACTCAAAATCATGGCTTTTGAAAAACCACAAATTGTTCACTTTGAAAGAAAGAAAGAGGGGGGACAGCTGGCCTTCAGCAAGGAAGTTTTTAGTTGCAATACGTTGACACAGATGCGTTAGAAGTAAGGATGAAGAGAAAAAAAGAGAAACAGCTTTGAAAACCGGTCTTCGTACCCTTTTGTATCTATTGTTCCCTAAGGCACACTTCTCTCTCTCCCCCTCGCCCTGACCCCCCTCACCCTTTTTGGGACAGGGTGGGAGTCAGGGGTGGACTAAGAGGACCTTTCTTTCTGTTCACAGGAATCTTGGTTCAGATTCTGTAAAAATTTTCATTAGTTACTTTACATTCACTTTTTTTTATATATAAAAAAGTAGATTAAACACTTTTAAACTTTGCTGTTTAAACAGCAATGGACATCTGGGCACTGGGGGTCATGAGCCAATCGAGTATCCAAACTACTACAACAGACACCCATAAAGATGTAATAATTAAGACATTAAGGGAAATAAATAGAATCAAAACTCACACTTCAAAGAACAGGAATCATCTAAAGTGTTCACACTTGGTTTTTTCAAAGTTGTTGATTGTTTTAAAACGAAGAAACACCAGAAACTTTACTAATCCAAGGCACTCTATCTGTACACACAATGTGAAGGTGGGCGAGTAAGCACAGCAGTAGTTAGCTGGAAATGGGCGGCGAATGACAAATGGGTACCACCAACGCCACACAAACACGCACCCCTTCCTTTCGGAAGAAATAAGGTCTTCAGAAGCAATATGTAATTAGTTCTGCATTTTTCTGCCTAATGAAAGTAAGCCATTACTTACAATTTGGAATCTGCAAAGGATCGAACTAAACACTGGTCCTTTTTCACTGTGACGTCATCATTACAGCTGGGAGACACAACCTGAAGTTTCAAATAAAACACTTTTAAGCAAAAAAAAAAAAAAAAAAAAGAAAGGCAGCTGATCTTGAAAGGAAAGAAAGATGGACAGCAGGAAAACTGCTGTTTTCCTGTTTCTTCTACTGTAATTTCCATTTCTAAGAAAAGAAATCAACTCCAATTTACATGACTAAGGCCAACAATGACAAATTTCAAGAAGCAGCTTACCTTAAACTATTAAATTTACTTCTTATGTACAAGCCAGAAAAGCTTGCAGTGTCATTTGTAAACTCAAAACTACTCTACTGGGGTCACATCATGGGATCCTGTTTATTCACTCTGCTTTTTTTCTCTCATTCATACAAAACCTCTTTAATGCATCTATTTGAAAGAAGTCACAGACCCATTTATTTTATACCAACTTCTGATCTTTGCCGTTCAAACTGAGCAGCAAGTAGTGGTTGGTTGGTTTGGTTTTGAGGTGTGGGGATAACATAAGCCAGCGTGGAATCCAGGGCATCCTTCCACAGCAGTATCACCTCTAAGTCTAAGAAGGTGATGAAAAAGCATTTGCAGTATTTGTGTTACCACAAGAGAACAAGTTCACACTTTCCTCCCAACCATATACAGACAGAAAATGTCAAATGCAGATGAACTTCTGGATCTACCAGGACTCAGTGGAAGCTGTGCCACCCCATTCACATCAGTCAGTTCTACCCCCAAAATCAAGGC